AACCTTGTCTGTACGGCGGATACACCGAACTTCCCTCTTCTGTGGGATGTTGGCATGAAGACACAGTACAAATTCCTCTTCCACGACGCAACAACCTTTGCACCCTACGACGCGGAGATAGACGCGGTAGAGACTGTGAATGAGCTCCTCGGACGTAGCGGAAGAAGAGTAGGCGGAAGAGATGGTGTCGGCTTCGTCTTACGCTCTCTACCGGAGCAAGCTCGAGAACTGTTCCGCATTCTCGTCATGGAACAGCTAGCTCTCTCACTCATGGAAGGCGGTGATATGGAGGAAGAAGACGAGGTTACTGCTACGTCGAGGTCGAAGAAGGTCGCACAAGTCAAGAACGTTCTGCCAGAGTCTACCCAAGGCGTTGAGTATCGTGTGTTGTATCACAAGGCTGTCGAGGCCTTCGTTTGCACAAGTGAGGTCAGTTTCAGAACGCTACTCAAGGAGTTCCACGACCATCAGATGATAGAGAGTAAGAAGGATGGTATGGGTACGGAGAGACTGTGGGTACCTTTCAGACAGGAAGAGCTGGAGGGTCTCGCGGAAGATCTTGCTGGAGAGGCGTTTTGATTTGCGCACCCCGTTGACCGAAGAAGTTGGACACTTACACCACCCTCCTACAAAGAATGAGGGGGGTACATGATCCGGGAGTCTACATTGCGTCCACAACTTGTCAAGTTTCGTTCTGACACCAACGTACACTTCAGGGCGTTCGATTCGTTCTTTATATGCGGTGGGCGTATATCCTTAATTACATTGTACAACATATTTTCATGATATTGCGATGCCATTTCCCTCCCTTCCAGCGACCTTGCTGGGTTCAAGACTAGAACAAGGTTAAAGCAAAAAGAGCGAGGACGTTTCACAGAGAGCAAAAGTCTGACAGACAAAAAAAGAATGTTAGTGGTCACTACGAAGTTTGAACCCGCGATCTGCCACCGTCGTCCTGCGGATCTTTCACCTCGATCTTGAGATCAAGTTTGACATAGTATCCTGGCAAAAAGGCAAAAAGAAGGCAATGGTAATGGTCACTACGAGGGTCGAACTCGCGACCTTGGCGTTATTAGCACCACGCTCTAACCAACTGAGCTAAGCGACCGTGTTATCGGATGATTGATGGAGGGTTGGAAAAGTGCAGCGTTTATAACTGCGGCAAGATTGGTGGCATTGGCAGAAATCAACAGGGCAGTTGCTAGACGCGGGGTCGAAGCGATTCCGCAGCTTCCACGTTGAAAATCAAAATTCACCACGCATTTTGGTTGGCCCCACCTATGTGACAAGAGCAAGAGCAAGAGCAAGAGCGCATTGCGACTTCTCGATACTCATGGAAAAAAGGAATGTCGTATGTGAACACAACTAATGAGCTACACAATTTGTTGCGGCAGTAAGGCTCTTGATTGTAGCTCCTTTGCTATATTTCTGAGGGGAGAAGTGAGCGCACCTGTGAAGATACTACTTGCAGCGCCTCACATAAGGAAGAAATTGTCGAGGTGAACAGGTGCCTGCAATCTATATGAATTTCAAAATAGAGGTTCATTCGAAGCTGGAGGCAATATAGACTTCTAGGTCATCGATTTTTAGCGATTATCTAGTCTCTTCCTTGACTAAAGTGGTTGGATGTTTGGAAGCCACGGGATGCGGGTATGAGCATTCTCTCTTTGCCACGTTACATCTGTGTTTACCTGCGGAGAATTCATGAGCGATAGACAAGACGCCAAGCACTTCAAACTACAGCTACTTATCATCTACCTCTCACGACTATCATGAATACCGTGACTCAACGAGATATGTATTCTATCTCTCGAAGTACTTGATCAATGTGAAGATACTTCATTCGGTACGAAAGTAAACTTCGCTCCTTCAATACAAATATACAAAGACATTGCAATGTCTAGACAAAAAACAAGCCGCTCAACATGAATCTAGACTTCCAAGTGGCATTCCCTCGTGGACTCCAGACTGCACTAGCGGCTGGTGTGCATACCGAGCATGAGCATGTGGCGCTGCCTAGATGGGTCACCAGGACCCCTCGTTGCCACTCCCACAAGCCGACCCTATTCATCCAAGTCATGCGCTGTAAGCCTTGCAGTGGTGCCATTTCGAGAACTCGATCGCCCAAATAGAATTGCGATGCGATCCATCTGTCAAGGCAAGGTCTGCGCTTAGTAGCGCCCACGGCCAAAAGCGTGTTTTCGAGTCAGCCACCTAGAATTATGGTCGGATATTCCGCTTGTTGGCAAATCCATTCGAAATCGATAGAGGCTGTTGTGATGCGGTCACCATGAGCAGGCAATCGTGTTGCGGTCGAGAATTCTTCGTTGTTTGCTTTGCTTGAGGCTCCGATGGCACAACAACACCGGGGCAACCCGCAGTCATCTCCGCATGACGTCCTTGCGAGCAAAGCTGCGGTTGAATGGGTGGTACGCTGGTAGACAGATTACCGGAAAATAGTTCCCTCTATCGTGGCCTGGATCAGCATGCGGAGCCCGCCCCGGCATTAGCGCGCCACCTTCCCGTGGCAGATCCCAGCTGTGATCACGATCCGTCGCTCTTTTGAGACGACTATGATGCTGTGTCAGCCACCTTTTTACTGCTTTAGGTTCGACGTTGACCTAAGTCCAGATCTTACCGGTAAATCTTCAGCATAGTTGAGGTAGTTCGAGATCCAGGCGTGTGGCCGTCGCGTCAACGGCTGAAGCATGACGACACTTCGCTTTGACCGTCTGAGTAGCCGTTAGCTGTAGTATCACCAGACGACTACTTGGGTCGTGATGTGGACTTGTATTCTCATCGACAAGTCGATTGCGTCTCCTCTTCTTGACTTTCCCATATTTCTTCTTTTCGGCGTGGTAGAAGTCTTGCTTTCGTTTCTGGACTTTCACCTTTCCTTCTTCTCTGGCTCAGGAGCCATACTATCGCCATGAATATCAACGTAAGTAGAACCCAATGGCAACATTGTCATGTGGGACAATGCTAATACTTTCGTGACAGGAACCCGTCCAGGGCAAAGCCTTTGCACTACCCTTCACGAAGGCTGCAGACCCTAATGCCAACCTCACCGATTCAGAGATGCGTCTGCCGTTATTGAGCCGCGTACCCGACAACATTCGTAACCACTTCATCGCCATGTGCGGAGAATTTGTCGGAACTGTCCTTTTCCTATACTTTGCTCTGTCCGGCGCACAAGTAGCGAACAGTATACCGTCGTCGGGAGGCCAGACGGTAGCGGAGGCAGGCAGCAATCCCCAACAGCTGCAGTATATCGCGCTTTGCTTTGGCTTCTCGCTTGCTGTGAACGCTTGGGTCTTCTTCAGGATCAGTGGAGGCTTGTTCAATCCGGCCGTGAGCAACTCCTCTCTCTTGCGCTGTTACTCTACCAGTTCGCTAAGACCAGTCTAGGTCACATTCGGCATGTGCTTGATCGGTGCACTCCCCTGGGTGCGCGGTGCTCTATTGTTCGTCACTCAGATCCTCGGAGGTATGGCGGCAGCTGGTCTGGTCCAGTGTATGTTTCCGGGTGATCTGAACGTTCGAACGAAACTCGGTGGCGGTACTTCTATTACGCAGGGTCTATTCATCGAGATGTTCCTTACTGCTCAGTTGGTCTTCACTATCTTTATGTTGGCAGCTGAGAAGCACAAGGGAACCTTCATCGCACCCGTGGGTACGTCAATAAACCCTGCTTGAGGTACATGGCTGTTGCTAACATATTGAACAGGTATCGGTCTCGCTCTGTTCGTTACAGAGTTATCTGGAGTATACTTCACAGGCGGATCTCTGAATCCCGCACGATCGTTTGGGCCTGCCGTCGTCAACCTTGAGTTCACGCACTACCACTGGATTTACTGGCTAGGACCCATACTCGGATCCATTATCGCGGCCGGATTCTACAAATTCATCAAGATCCTCGAATACGAGACTGCCAACCCAGGCCAGGATATGGACCACGCTGCCAAAATCGAGAAGAAGAAGAACTTGTTGCTTGCCGCCGGTATCAACGAGTACGACGCTCACCAGGTGGCTACGGAGCTTACAGAGAAGGCCGCTGTTGCCGATGCCGGTGGTCCGGATGGCGGAGTTGTTGCCAATGGCCAAGGTCAACGTGACCCACAGTACGTTCCTCATGTTGGCATGTACGGAACGCAATTCCGTTCGAACTCTGATATCAGCAACAAACGCGGATCTGGTAGCTCCGAATCAGGGGTTTTACCATCGCCGCAACGTCCGACTGCTGTGACTACGGGTAGCCAGGTTGGGAGGTTCAGTTACCTAGGTAGTCGCGGTGCCGTACCAGGCAACTCTGCCCAGATCAACGCTCTGAGAAGAGAGAGCAGACAGGACAGCCCTGCTATGACGACAAACGACGAGCTTTATGCTCCCCTGCAACACGGCGCCGACGTACCTCTTGGAGGTGCTGTCCTTGAGACTGAGCCTAGGCAACGAGTCAACAGGACGCCATCAAGCTTTGCATGATGATGAGAGTATGATAATGAGTAAAATCAAGAAGCGCGACCGGATACCCTCAAAGTAACATAGCGCGTTTTGCTGCAGCGATTTTGTTTAGCGTTCCCGTACATAATGAATCGATTCGTGGTCCTCTCGACGTCAAATGCTTCATGGTGATGTTTCTCTGGCAAGGCGGCCGATACTTCGTAGCGCTCAAGACTGAATTGCTTCCGATGTCACGTTGTGAATCACGGGTCTAGCAAAGCCATTCGTACTCCATGGGTACGGATGAAATAATTCGAAAACGAGTTAATGAGACCAGGTCGAGATTTGGGGCGCGCCTCGATGGAGCAGGTGAGTGAGTTCGTGGGAGAGTGACCTTCAGCGTTGCTGAAGTCTGGCAAGTTGAAGCGATCACACTAGTACAGAAGCGACCTAGCTCAGAATAAATCCCACCCCCACCCGTGACTTCCACATCCAGAGTCTGAGTCCTCAAGATTCGCCATCTGTAAACCGCAAACACCAAACAATAAATTCTGCCCACCATGGCGACTATGACAGTGACAGAGACGCAGCATAAGAGGAGGCTACCAAAGAATGTCAAATTGCCACCCGAGAATGAACGTTACATGCGTGCGTGCGCAGATATCGCCTCAGCGCTCATTCAGGACTATGAATCCCAGGCCGACGGTTCAAAACCTAAGAAGGATCTGAACTTGAACTCGCTAAGAGGGCAGATCGCGAAGAAGCACTACCTTAAGAGCCAGCCTCCGCTCACGGCGATTATCGCGGCTGTGCCTGAGCACTACAAGAAATATATCCTCCCGAAGCTCATCGCAAAACCGATCCGTACGTTGCCCTCAATGATATTGCATAATTATAGTGAGACTGATTTACTTTATAGGTACATCATCTGGTATTGCAGTAGTGGCGGTCATGTGCAAACCTCACCGGTGCCCACACATTGCCTACACTGGTAATATCTGTGTGTACTGTCCAGGAGGTCCAGACTCCGACTTTGAGTACTCAACACAGTCCTACACAGGTTACGAGCCAACATCTATGCGCGCTATTCGAGCGCGATATGATCCTTACGAGCAGGCTCGTGGACGAGTCGACCAGATTAAGTCGCTCGGTCACAGTGTCGACAAAGTTGAGTACATCATCATGGGCGGCACATTCATGTCACTACCAGAGTCATATCGGGACGAGTTCATCTCACAACTACACAACGCGCTTTCGGGATATCAAACCAAAGACGTTGACGAGGCTGTTGCCGCCGGTGAGATGAGTAACATAAAGTGCGTTGGTATCACCATCGAAACACGACCAGATTACTGTTTGGATCAACATCTTTCCTCCATGTTACGCTACGGATGTACGCGTCTCGAGATCGGTGTACAGTCCCTTTACGAAGATGTAGCGCGCGACACGAACCGAGGCCACACTGTCGCCGCCGTAGCGAAGACCTTCTGTCTCTCCAAAGACGCTGGTTTCAAGGTTGTTTCACACATGATGCCAGATCTTCCCAACGTCGGGATGGAGCGTGATCTCGATCAGTTCGTAGAGTACTTCTCGAACCCAGACTTCCGTACCGATGGGCTCAAGATCTATCCTACACTCGTCATTCGCGGCACAGGACTCTACGAACTCTGGCGGACCGGAAGATACAAGAACTACACACCAAACGCTCTCATCGATATCGTTGCCCGCATCTTGGCCCTAGTACCGCCATGGACGCGAATCTACCGTGTGCAGCGCGATATTCCCATGCCGCTTGTCACATCCGGTGTTGAGAATGGTAACTTGCGAGAGTTGGCGCTAGCAAGGATGAAGGACTTTGGTACCTCATGTCGCGATGTGCGAACACGCGAGGTCGGCATCAACGAAGTGAAGCATAAGATCCGGCCCGATCAGGTCGAGTTGGTACGTCGGGACTACACGGCTAACGGCGGTTGGGAGACATTCCTCGCATACGAAGACCCGAAACAGGACATCTTGATCGCCTTGCTTCGTCTACGACAGTGTTCGAAAGAACATACTTTCCGGCCAGAGTTAACGGGCCAGCCCTCTTCGCTGGTACGCGAACTGCACGTCTATGGGTCTGCTGTCCCTATACATGCTAGAGATCCGAAGAGGTTCCAGCATCAAGGTTATGGTACACTTTTGATGGAGGAGGCAGAGCGAATAGCCAGGGAAGAGCATGGAAGCAGTAAGATCAGTGTTATCTCGGGTGTTGGTGTGCGGAGTTACTACGGCAAACTGGGTTACTGGCTTGACGGCCCATATATGAGCAAGACGCTCGAGCCGCTGTGGGAGAGGGACTGGTAGATGGAAAGTCGTAGCTAGCGCGTTTTGGCGTTGGTGCATGTGTCGGCCCTGGTGCTTCGATTGACAGATATGCAGGGCTTATGCACATGTACAGATAGCACATATTAAGCTAATCCAATGTCTTGCTACGGAAATGTATGAACCCGCCTGTGCCCGCTGAACGCCGTGTCTCATATTACAATGTACAAGTGCCTCTGCCTTTCCTCCACAGGCGCAATGACGCATGCCTGTCCCGATGCCATCGTCGCATCCAAAGATTCTCTAGATGACTTCTCGTCTTATCTTGCCGCTCAACCGTGTTTCGCACCCTGTTCAAGATTATGACAGGCTTATCGCGCCGCGACGGCTTTCGCGCATGTGGAGGAAGGCCTGCAGACCGCAGAAGACAAAGAAGCCCTGGAAAGACGTTAGCGAAGTGCGATACTCTCTTTTGATTCCAACGTACAATGTATATGAAGACGGCACCGAATACCGCGCCGGCAACTGCGCCACCATCCTCGGGGTCTTCATGTCCTCCCATTACGGTACCGCTGTGTCCCTGCGAGTTGCGCATTAGCATCAGTTCTGCTTTACAGTTCTCATAACCAGTGGCGACTGTGGATTCGAAGGTGTTCATCCTTGTCGGGACCATGGGCACGAGGCAGACGTACTTTGAACAGAGCTCCGATCGTGGAGAGAATGACGATGGCAAAGAGCGACACGACGATGCTAGCACTCCGTTAGCTTCCTTGCTATTCCTTCTTCCCTAGATTGTTTGGCGCATACCACGTCCATGCATTCATCGCGGAAACAACGGGCTTCACCATGATGGGCGACTTGGAGCTTCGGTATCGCGCGGCGGCGGGTAGCTTATCGGCGGCGGTGGCGGCGCTTCGATCGTGGTATCGTCGAGTGGTTCGCTACCTGTACCGGTGATGTAGAGGATGTCGTAGGTGGAGATGGGGTTGGGAGGTGGTCGACGTCGATGGTGCGGCGCTGGATGAGGTGCCTGAGCCTGGAATCGTCATGTCTTGCGACGCCTGCCGATGCGCGTGGGTCCGTGCACCGCATCTGATGCAGGTGAACCGGGAACTTCCCGAACATCGACATTCATTCCATTCCCCATCGACGCCGCAAAACCCTCATAGAACGGCTCGCCATCACAGTTCGCGCTACCTTCGAAGCTGAATACAGATATCATGTCTCACTAGGCTGGACAACATAACTTATTGTACCATCATCGCGATAACGGAAGACGGCAACGGACTAGAAACCTGGCTTCACCACACTCAACGACGCCCATCAGCTCTTGGACTCCATCCACGCCAGCATACATAAGCTCCTCATCTATTGTCCTGAGAGCTCAAGATGGATAGTAGCGTTGATACCTTTCGCTTCCTCGATCTTCCCAAAGACATCCGGTTATTAGTATACGATTACTTGCAGCCCGAGAGTCACTTGGTATCGATTTTTGGAGACCACCGTTGCCTCTGGTATACCAAATTGAGGCCTTCCACAGCACTATTATTAGTCAACCGCCTTCTGTGCGACGAGATCAGAGCCTACTTCCGCAACGGCTTCCCAGGGCAACCTATCACGCTTGTCGCCGTGGAGGGACATGGCACGTTTGCACTGCGCTTTCTAGAAGCTCTCACCTCGGGTCATCACTTGGATACGCTGTCCAAAGAGAACCATGGCGACGCCGGCATGCCTGTCGAACTCTCCAAGTTTACGCAGATGATACCGACCCGTCAACTGAGGATGCGTGTTCAGAGTATCGATCAAACGCGTTGCGAAAGTAAGACGTCCCCACTTACTGAATTCGACGATACAACGCTCCAGAAAGTCTATCGTCTCTGTGTGCTAAGAATGCGCAAAGAGACACACTTTCAGTTAAGAGTTCTGTTCCCAAACGGGAAAGTAAAAGGCGACAGGGATTTGCGCTACTTGCTCACGGGAAGAGCCAATACTCACCCGGAAGACGTTCGTTCATTTGAGGTGACTGTGATCTTTACGGCTACACCGCCACCCGATGCTATTCCGTCACGGGCTGAGATAGGGATAATGTATGGAGAGAGTGCTATTGATGCGAAGAACATTAAGCTGCAATCGGAGGCCATGACAGAGCAGGAACTCGACGTTTGGCGAACCGGTCGTTTCTACAACTACGATGACTACCACGACAACCACGACAACCACGACTGCCACACCTACCACAACTACTACTGAGAGCTTTGGACATAGTCTTCGTGATGATATGGGTTATCTTGTCCCGTTTTGACCACGGCTGGATCTTGGCTTTATGACCTGATGCAAGTCTGAGTAAGAGGAGGTATAGCTGCATTCGCACGCGCTAGGTCTCCAGTCTGAAAACTGTGAAACCTGGGAACTCTGAATGCCTTTGTAGCGATCGCATAGAATGCTGAGTTGTGGATTCGTAGTGTTAACCAATCTTTTGATACTGGTCACATCCAACGCTGGGCTTGATGAACAACTCTTCTCCGTCCCCACTATGTGAATATCCCATAAATTCTGCGAACGGTCTCGGCGTGCAGCCATGATAGCAGTTCCTTTTCTTCAGCGCCCTGTTTGGCTGCCATCCTAGTGATCAGATACAAGCAACCTTATGAGTTTCCCGCCATGCGTCGAGGTTCTGCTCTGTTGCCACTCGCCAATTAGCAACGCGGATCTGGGGTTTGGTCCGTGTGTCCTGTAATTGATCCCGAACACCATTGTTCCCACTGACGATGGATGGTAGTACATAATCGCAACCTTGAATCATTACCGCAGCCCTGATTGTTCTGGTCGGCCTCTTCCAAGTTGGGATATCATGGTCCGCATATAGGCGAGTTCTAAAGGTGTGGCCAATTCCGTGGGCACACAATCGCCAGCCGGAGACAGTTCTATTTGTATGAGAGAATCTTGCGTAGCGTGACTGTCGGGGACTAGGACAAAATTGCATCGTGTGTTTCCTTGCCTGGATACAGCCTTGTTCATGGGCTCTGCTCGATCGCTACCAGAACTCATAAGTGCAAGGTTGTTTGCCCCTATCAAGAACCGGTATTCTACGTGAGCATTGTGCCGTAGCTTCCTCACAGCGAATTCGAAGTAACTCCGAGTGAGTAACATCCCCCGTTTCCGCTCACGACCGAAGAAGTATTTTCTTGTACGAGAGTAGAAAAAGAATTGATGGAGCAATCTGATGGGGCTTTTTGAAACCGAGTCGGACACATCTGCGTGCTCGAATGCAGCTGCATTAATGCGCTCTTGTAATATATGTTGTTGATCAGAGTCGTAAGCCATGGATAGTGTGCGAGAAATATCTCCCACATGGTTGAATGATTTGATAACGTAGATTACAAGCGGTCCACCAAGACGCTGTTGGCGCGTCGCCACTCGTGCTTCGTCCCTGAGCTGGCGTGACGCTTGGGCGACTGCCGGATCTATTGTGACCACCTCATAGGCAATCCCCATTTCCGGGAAAGATAAAGGCTTGATGCGCCGATTGAGTAGGTGTTCATAGATCAGGAACCGGATGTCTTTGGGAAGATCCATGAAACGAAGGAACGTTGCGAGAGGTGTAGCGTCGGGGTCATGTTCTTTGGCGACACCAGATGGCTCGCGCGCGATCCGGGCATGCGTGGAGAGATCTTCTGAAGTGAACATGGCGTTATTGATTAGTCGAAACCCTTCATTGAAAGTATAGCAGATCTTCTTGCTTTACGCGTCTTCGGACTTGCAGCGGGACATTCGGAGCTAGTCCGTAAACGGATGAGATGGCAGCCTGGAATCGATCACGTGCTACCGTCTCCAGCACGCGACGCGTCTTCCCCACCCACATCGCACCTGCATGACAAGCTTGCAGTGATTGTTGTACATTTCCGAGACAGTGTTGTACAGCAGACGCCGTTTGCGCACTTGTCTCCACGAAGCCCTGCAATCCTTGCTTTTCTGCGACCTTGTCCCTGAATTTGCCACCTGAGGCGTGAACGCGCGACGGGCTATCGGCGCAAAAGGGCCAGGGGTATCTACCCTTCGACAATTAGTGCTTCTAATCATCTCACCCCTCCGTCGAGTTACAGTCTCTCTTTCAATCCGTTCATCAGTGTTCGCTGCGCGCTCCTCGATCTCTGTCGTATTTTCACTTGCTTTTCCTTTCACCAATTCATCATAATGGCGCCCCGGCGATCAACCCGCAAGTCGACTGGTGTCGCGAATGACGTCGCCACCGCACCTTCCCCAGCGCCGACAACTGGTATGTACAGGCTGACTTTGGCTCTCACTTTTGCTTAGCAAGTGAATATCGTGCATTACTCTTGCGCTAACGCGATTACAGCCCTGGAAGACTCCTCCGTGGCTGATAGTCGCCACAAACAGAAGCGCCCTCGTACCTCTCGATCTTTCATCCCCGACTCTTCCGACCACGAGAGCGAAACCATCGAGCCCGAGGTGCCCCAATCATCCGCCAGCGCCCGCCGCGTGTTGAAAGAAGTTAGAGTCCCCGCCATGAAGTCCAAGAAGGCGCCCGCCACTCGCGGACGGCTAGCAGGGCTCAACGCGCAACAAGCAGGACAAGAGAGTTCAACCGCCTCACCTTCCCTGGAGAACTCGGACTACGAAACACAAGGAACCAGCATCTCGACCACGCCAGCTGCGTCAGTCAGTCGTGGCAAGAAGCCCGCCCGTAGTCGGCTGAACAACGCTACGACGCCTTCGCAGAGCACCTCATCCAAACGATCTCGCACCGTCGTATTAGACTCTGGCTCTGAATCAGATAACTGGGCGCTCGACATGGACGCTGAGATCGCTTTACAAATGCAGTTGGAGGACGAAATGGATGCGCCACACAGCAAGCGCCAGAAGATCAAGGACGAGGAGGACGAGGAGGATGAGGATATGCTATCCGAGGATGAGCCCGTCGCGCCTTCGCGTCGCAAGAAAGCACCCTCATACATTGGCAAGGGCAAGGGCAAAGCCAAGGCCGAAGAGATTTTCAGCGATGACGACGCAGATTCAATGACAGCTGTTCTGTCGTCAGCACCATCTTACAAAGGCAAGGGCAAAGGCAAGGCCAAGGCTCAGTCTTCAGCAAAGCGTGGTCGTCCTGCACGCTCTAGTGCGAAGAAGGCAACGTTCAAGGAAGAGGACTTTCTCGATGATGAGGAGTCTGACGGCGGCGAGTTTCGTCCTGATGATGTGGATGACGCCGAGTCTTTGCTTAACGATGTCGAGACACCAATGGCTAGCGACAGCGATGAAGAACCTTTGATGACGACAAGTGACCGTCTGAAGAAGATTGCTGCGGCGCGCCAACCGAAAGCATCTGGAGGCCGGAAGAAGAAGCTCACCCGCGGCGACAAAGACGAAGCGACTGATCGTCGGGCGAGGTATGCGCACATCGCGGACAAGTGGGAGCGGAAGCGGGCCATGAACCGTGAACGAGCAGAGCAACAGCATCCAAAGCTGAAGACTATGTGGAAGACTCTGGAGGACATCCCCGTCCTGGAGGTTCAGCAGGCAGAGCAACCAGAGTCTATTACCCGACGATTGAAGCCATTTCAACTCGAGGGTCTTAGCTGGATGATTCGGCAGGAGAAGACTCACTACAAGGGTGGGCTGCTCGGAGATGAGATGGGTATGGGCAAGACTATCCAGGCTGTCTCCCTGATCATGTCCGATTACCCTGCAAAGCAGCCGACGCTCGTATGTGTCCCGCCAGTTGCTCTGATGCAATGGTCCAACGAGATCCGCGAGTACACAAACAACAAGCTCAAGGTTCTGGTATACCACGGCACGAACGCCAAGTGCAAGAAGATGTCGATCAAGGAGCTCAAGTCCTACGACGTAATCATGGTTTCGTACAACTCTCTGGAATCGCTGCATCGCAAGGAAACCAAAGGATGGTCTCGCGGTGAGGACATCATCAAGGAGGCATCACCACTCCACGCCATACACTATCACCGCCTTATCCTGGACGAAGCGCACAGTATCAAGTCTCGCAACACCGGTGTAGCTAAGGCTTGCTTTGCGCTTACTGGTGACTACAAGTGGTGCCTGTCCGGCACGCCAGTTCAGAACCGCATCGGAGAGTTCTTCTCACTTCTTCGTTTCTTGGAAGTTCGTCCATTCGCGGACTATTTCTGCCGTTCCTGCAAGTGCGAGAAGCTGCATTGGGCCACCGACGACGACCACATGTGTGTTGCCTGCAACCACGGTGCCTCTGAGCACATCTCGGTGTTCAACCAAGAGCTGCTCAACCCAATCACTGGCGATGACCATAAGCTCCGCGAGGAGGCCCTGACAAAGCTTCATTTGATCACTGCTCGCATCATGCTACGACGTATGAAGCGCGATCATACGAACTCCATGGAGTTGCCGATGAAAGACATCATCATCCACCAAGAGTTCTTCAGTGAGGTGGAGCGCGACTTCTCAACGTCGATCATGTCGAACTCCGCTCGCAAGTTCGATACTTACGTTGCGCAGGGTGTCATGCTCAACAACTACGCCAACATCTTCGGTCTTATCATGCAGATGCGACAGGTCGCCAACCATCCCGATCTTTTGCTAAAGAAGAATGCGGCCGAAGGTGCTGGTAACGTCTACGTGTGCAATATCTGCGACGAACCCGCCGAGGACGCGGTACGTTCTCACTGCCGTCACGAGTTCTGTCGCGCTTGCATCAAGGACTTCATGGATACATGCGAAGCCTCTGGCACGGACGCAGACTGTCCTCGCTGCCACATCGCCCTGTCCATCGACTTCGAACAGCCAGAGCTTGAGCAAGACGAGGACTCAGTCAAGAAGACGTCGATCATCAACCGCATCAAGATGGAGAATTGGACTTCTTCCACCAAGATTGAGATGTTGGTATACGATCTCTACAAGCTTCGGAGCAAGAAGCAGACACTCAAGTCCATCGTCTTCAGTCAGTTCACGTCGATGTTGCAGCTCATTGAGTGGCGTCTGCGTCGTGCCGGTTTCAATACCGTCATGTTAGATGGCAGCATGACTCCTGCACAGCGCCAGAAGAGCATCGATCACTTCATGACCAACCCGGATGTTGAGGTCTTCCTCGTCTCCCTCAAGGCTGGTGGCGTCGCTCTCAACCTTACTGAAGCATCCAGGGTGTTCATTGTTGACCCGTAAGTAATAGTCTTTGCCACATTTTCCCACAGAACGCTAACGAGACGCAGGTGGTGGAACCCAGCAGCTGAGTGGCAGTCTGCCGACCGATGCCATCGTATCGGTCAACGTCGTCCTTGTGTGATCACTCGCCTTTGTATCGAGGACAGTGTAGAGTCGCGTATGGTTGCGTTACAGGAGAAGAAGGCCGCTATGATTGCTGGTACCGTGAACAACGACAAAGTCGCCATGGACCGCCTCAGCCCTGAGGATTTGCAGTTCCTGTTCCGCGGTACCTAGTCGCAGGAGCAGTTTCACGTCTTCACAGGAGTATAGATGACATGGGTTTCGGGTTGTCGCATTATTCATGAGGCGTTTGTCGGTCAGCGACGCATGGGACCGATCGATCTAGGGTAAACACTTTTTTGTTTTACCACAGGCGTTACAAACATGGAGCGCAGTTCAACGATCGGAACGATGCATAACGCCTCGGTACCTTTCGATACCTTTTCAAAGAGTGTTATACCCGTTTACATCACAGTATAGTACGCTGTCTAATGAATGCATTTTCCTACTTGTGAATTTCACAGTTTCTGATTAACAGCCTTCTCCTAGTCGTGTGTGCTGTCCTTGCACTCAGGTGAGATCCATGTAAGCTGCTGTCTAGCGTAGTAATGGCAGGGATGCCACAGCTCGTCCAACTGCCACGGGGGCTTGCAGGTACGGTAAGGAGTACAATCTCATACACCGCGATAGCTTGCGCACCTCGATGGATATGGCAGGTGTGTAAATTATTGCAACCCATTACCTTTTATTGTCAATGGTGGGTAGAAGGCTGCGGGTAAGGTTTACCCTTTGACTGTGATCCCATCGCTCCAGCGATCATTTAGCTACCTACAATAAACTTCCTTCACTCAAAAACATCTCAGTGCCCTAATTCCAATACTCAGAATCGCATCCGCGGAACCGAGGAGATGTTCACAAAGCCATGTTGCAGCTGTATTTGTGGTACGTAATTTTACGTAAAGCCCAACTTGCTGCGCGTGGACCTTTACTCAGATCGTCGCGCATGTGCAAGGTCAACGTCAGAGTAAATGGGCATATTTGCGCATTCGAATGGTGCAGGAGCGGACAAAGTACCGTTGTTTGACAGCTGGATCCGGGAATAAATTGCGCGATGAGGGACTTTGGTTGCACGTTCGTGCTTTTGACGGTCCGCTCCCGGGGCCATTGAACTTTAATCTCTTTGAGCTGTTGATCTGCTTTCTGTTTTACTTATCCATTCGCATGGAAAGGTTTTGTTTGTTTTGTGTTTACATTGGTCAGTATGAGTGTGTTCTCTGCAGCCAGGGAATGGGACCTTGATATCGATCGCTACCTCAATCGCATCATTCCTCCTTCACCGCTGCACAAGCTTCCGACGCCGGTGTCGAGGTTCCTTGGGTATAGAAGGGAGACGCGTCAAGATGTTGGGAACATACTTGGAGCGTTCTGGTCGTTGTTGGGCGCGTTCTGCGGTCTGGCGGTCGTAGCGGCAGTCTTCAACAATACGGACAGCATACAATGGCATCAGCCGCCAGCGTTGATCGCTTCATTTGTACGTTACTTGTTGCTGGTACGAGCGTGATCTGTTGTGCTGACCGGTGATCCAGGGTGCCTCTGCGATTCTTGAGTACAACTCTATACGCTCGCCACTCGGTCAACCGCGCAATGCTCTCCTCGGCCATGGAATATCTGCACTCATCGGCGTCGGCATATCGAAGTTGTTCCAATATCACTCGGAATTCGATTCGATACGATGGATTGCAGGCGCTATAGCATGCGGTTGCGCGTCTGCCGTCATGCTCTTGACCAATACTGTGCATCCACCGGGCGGCGCATCCGCGGTGCTTGCAGCAACAGACCCTGTCATCACAGCCATGGGCTGGTACTTCGTCGGACTCGTTCTGTGGGGCACTACTCTTATGATTGCAGTTGGGCTGGTCATCAACAACATCCAGAGGCAGTTCCCGATATACTGGTGGACCCCTTTGGATCTGCAGAAAGTGAAGATTGGGGATGAAGAGGTGGTGCCAGATGCGACGGGCGGTTTAAAACGAAAGAAGAGTGCAGATGAGCAACACTATGACTGCGAAAGGCACAGGATTGAGATCAACGGCGCCCGGATTACGTTGCCAGACGATTTGAACTTGAATGCGGAAGAGACGAGAGTACTGGAAAAGTTACGAGGAAAATTACGAGAGAGGGTTGACGAGGAGATAAAAACGGTAGATTCAGAAAAGGAAGAAGCGGATAGCGAAAGGAGCAGTGCTGAGTTCACTATGGTGCCGAGCAACAGCGGGAGCAGTCACGGTATATAGACGGCGCTTATCGCTGTTGAGGCTGGTGAAGATAAGAACTATGACGATCATCGCTCTCTCGTGGGGTATCCACAATGCTCAACAACCACACAGGTGATGCCTAATACTAACGATACTCTTCATCGTTTCGTAACTTTGAACCAAAACGGGATCTGAGCAGCACATGTTCATCGCATACCTAAATATACATAGAAAGATGCGCATGGCGTACTTTCCCGTTGAGGGGCACATGGCGGGACTTCTGGAGACATAGAAAACATATTCGTACAGAATACATACGAAGTCACTGTTTGCTTCGCCCGGATCTGGACCTAGCTACCTGTCTGGTGACTTACTATCCTAACGAAAGATGCATGTAGCGGTGTCAGCCTCGAGGGTTGAGCGCCTTACTTGCCCTATGATGATGGTGGGGGAGCGCTCATTGGCCGTGCGCAGCCTTCGCCACAAGTAAGAAAATTGATTCACAGGGTCGCATTGTTTGACCAGCCCTGGCCGTTTCTTACTCTCAAATCCTCTCTTTCTGCACCACTTCCAGTGCTTCATCACTCCACTCGTTTTCACATCCGAGTGTCGCGCTTTGAACAGGACGCGAAACTGAAACCTTTGGGTATCGACACCTATCGATAAGAGACTTAGCGGGGCACAGATTGACGTTGATCCCAACCCTACGAAATTTCCTCCTCCCTCCACCACCCCAGAGTCTTCACCCATAAACCACTAAGACACCATGGTCTCCGCCTCAAAAGCTGCCCGCCAGGCGAAGCGCGCCGCCGACGGCGATGCGAAGCCCAAGAAGACGGCCACGTCCAAGTTGTCGTCCAAGGCCAACTCCAAGAATGCCTCCAAGGCCAACTCTGAGAACGGCGACGAGGCCGAGGACCTCGAGCTGAACGAGGAGGTCAAGAAGCTGACCATGCAGGAGGACAAGCACGGTCTGTCCGACCGCGTCACCACCGGTGTGCTTGCCTCGCTCGAGCAGTCGCGCGATGTCAAGATCATCTCTGCATCGCTCGTGTTCCACGGAAAGGTCCTTTTCAACGACTCCACTCTCGAGATCAACTACGGCCGCCGATACGGTCTGCTGGGTGAGAACGGTTGCGGAAAGACGACCCTGCTCAAGGCCATCGACAAGCGCGAGTTCCCCTTCCCAGAGCACATCGACATCTACCTGCTGAACATGGGTGCCCCCAAGACTGAGCTGGGTGCCCTGGAGTGGGTTGTGCGCGAGGCTGAGAACGAGCTGGCCCGTCTCGAGAAGCTGGCTGAGGATATCCTTGAGAAGGACGGCCCCGAGAGCCCCCTCCTTGACGACATCTACGAGGTATGTACACGCCACATCAAAGTGCGGCACACCACTAACACTATACCAGCGTCAAGAAGACATGGACCCGTCCACCTTCCACACCCGCGCATCCCTCATTCTTACCGGTCTCGGTTTCAACAAGGTCACCATCAACAAGAAGACAAAGGACATGTCCGGTGGATGGCGTATGCGTGTTGCGCTCGCCAAGGCGCTGTTCGTCAAGCCCGCCCTGCTGCTGCTCGACGACCCCACTGCCCATTTGGACTTGGAGGCCTGTGTGTGGCTCGAGGAGTACATGAAGAAGTGGGAGCGCACCCTGGTTCTCGTGTCCCACTCCATGGACTTCTTGAACGGTGTCTGCACAAACATGATCGACATGCGTCAGAAGAAGCTCCTCTACTACGGAGGTAACTACGACACATACCACAAGACACGTACCGAGCAGGAGGTCAACCAGACCAAGGCCTACGAGAAGCAGCAAGACGAGATCAAGCACATCAAGAAGTTCATTGCTTCCGCTGGTACTTACGCCAATTTGGTCAGGCAAGCCAAGTCTCGCCAGAAGATTCTGGACAAGATGGAGGCCGATGGTCTGATCGAGCCCGTTGCTGTTGACCGTGTCTTCACTTTCCGTTTTGCCGACGTCGAAAAGCTGCCCCCACCTGTGCTGTCGCTTGACGACGTTACCTTCTCTTACTCTGGAGATGCAAAGGACAACCTGTACGAGAACCTGGACTTCGGTGTCGACATGGACTCTCGAACAGCTCTTGTCGGACCCAACGGTGTTGGAAAGTCCACCCTTCTCAACATCTTCACCGGAAAGCTCAGCCCCACATCCGGTGTTGTGTCGCGCCACACTCACTTGAAGCTCGGTGTGTACAGCCAGCACTCTGCTGAACAGCTTGACCTCACCAAGTCTGCCCTTGACTTCGTCCGTGATAAGTTCCACCACATCAGCCAGGATCTTCAATACTGGCGCCAACAGCTCGGTCGCTACGGTATGACTGGCGAGGCACAGACATCGAAGATGGCCACTCTGTCCGATGGTCAAAAGTCCCGTATCGTCTTCGCTCTGCTCGCTATTGAGGGACCCAACATGTTGTTGCTTGACGAGCCTACCAACGGTCTGGATATCCCTACTATTGACAGTTTGGCGGATGCCATCAACGCCTTCAGCGGTGGTGTCGTTGTTGTTTCCCACGACTTCCGGTATGTTCAATCTTACTCTCCTACTTGATCAGCCTGCTAACAATGGATAGATTGCTTGACAAGATCGCGAAGGACATTATGGTGTGCGAGCACAAGACCGTCCGCAGGTGGGACGGAACCATTGGCGAGTACAAGGACCATCTCCGCAAGAAGATGGCGTCGACTGGTGCTCTCTAAGCGGATTTTGGGGATAGTTTCGCAAGTTGCATGCGTCCTTCGAGCTGTGGAACGCAGGTACAACAAAAGTAATGGCCTTAGAGCAGGTTTCAGGATACCTCTGCAGTAGGCCGCCAGCTCATCGCTTCCTGCGTCAGTGTCGTTCTGCATGGGTAGAGGCATCTGGATTATGCGTTATGATGCATTGGGTCTTAGAGGAGTTTTAGAGTTGCCTTACGATCAGAATGATATCACATAGAAGCATGTATTGTTGTTTCCATATTTTGGGTGCTGCTTGCGATGCTAAGGGTCGTGCGCATAGTTGTGATGATGTATTTGTGCGTGTATGTACATGATACTTCCGGTGGACAGAGGACGTTTGACATGCGTGTAATCGAGAAGAAGGATGTGCAGACAGCTGTTCTGAGGCTACGTAGGACGGACATGTGGCTATCGGTAGGTACATGTTCGGCACGTGCCTCTTGGTGAGCTATGAGCTGTGACGAGCGAGCACCCCCGCAAGCTTCCACCGCGATAGTGGAGCTTAAGCATCTACACCAAGCCTCCCATCTTTCCAATCTCATACCATTACTCTTCGAGACCTTCGCTCCCGCTGTATTTATCTGAAACCGCGATAACCCGGAATACAGCGACTCTTACACGAAGCTTTTCCTTCCTTCCTCTCGCTCTCTGCCCGCCATGGCGGAGCTCACAAGTACAAAGCTCAATGCGGAGTCGCATCTCCTCCTCGTAAAGCGTCCCCGGCTACCCAGACAAACCGTATTACCTACTAACACGATCACAGGACCAACCACTCCTGCGCATGCCCTACGAGCTCTCGCGGCGCAACTTCAAAAACGCCCAGCGCGTCATCGAACACTCGTCCAGCGCACTCACCACATCCCTAACCGCCGCCACCAAAGCCGCCTCCAAGAACGCCTCCCCAGAAGCCACACTCGACTCTATCGATACCATGATAAGCAAGATGCACAACCTCAAGCGCAAACTAGAAAACCTCCACGAAGAAGAAGCGCGCATCCACCGCTCCACAAAAGCGCGCCTACAACACCTGCAAGACCTGTACGAAATGCAAAGCCTCGTCGACGTCAAATACGATGAATGGTCTCGCACGCGGTTAAGCCGGTTACTCGTGGATTACCTGCTAAGAGAGGGGTATGCAGAGAGCGCAGCGTGTCTGGCGAAGAGCAAAGGAATCACCGAGCTCGTGGATGTGGATGCATTCGTTGCGTGTCACAAAATCGAGAAGAGTTTACGGGAAGGCATGAGTACAACATTGGCGCTTGAGTGGTGCAAGGAACATGGCAAAGAACTCAAGAAGGGGGGTAGCCTGCTCGAATTCGAGCTCAGGCTGCAGCAGTATATTGAGTTGGTGAGACAGGGACACGAGGCCGGGTTGAGCGGTATGGATGGGCTGGAGACACAAGATGATGGTATGCATGGAGTCAGCATAGGGGGCGGAGGTGGAGAAACGAAGTTGATGGAGGCGAGGGCGCATGCTAAGAAGTATTTGAGTACGAGTGGGGATTTCGAGCTGATGAGGAGAGCGGCGGGCATGTTGGCGTATAGGCCGTGGGACGAGGTGGAACCTTATGCTGTGAGTCTCCCCAGACCGCTCATGTTTTATATCTCTAACAGTCCTTCTAGTCTTTTTACTCGGCATCACGGTGGTCGCATCTAGCCGATTGCTTCGTTGCGACTCATCACACCCTCTACGCCCTGCCCCCGCGGCCGCTTCTCCACGTCGCCTTGAGCGCCGGTCTCTCCGCGCTCAAGACACCCGCCTGCCATTCGGCCTACACACCCTCCTCCACGAATGCCGCTTCCTCCACCACAACCGTATGCCCAATCTGCAGTACCGAGCTCAACGAGCTGGCGCGCAACGTTCCATACGCCCTCCACACTAAAAGTATCGTTGAAGACAGTCCCGTAGTACTGCCCAACCATCGCATCTACGGCTCCGAGAGACTGCGCGTCTTCAACGAGAAGGTTGGCACGGAAGAGGGGTTCGTGAGGGATCCGGCAGAAGGGCTGAGTGGCAAGCAGTGGCCTGAGAGCGAGGTCCGGAAGGTTTATGTTATGTGATGTTTTGTCTCTCTTTCTTTCTTCTAGCGGCATTTGTATGATAGTCCGGTATAGCGTGGCGTTTTGGTATGGGAATCTGCTCGGCGCGGTATGGGTCGGCGTACCTGGTTCTTTCATGTGTAGATAGGAAGGACCTCATGGCCTTGGGTATTGTTCCTAAGCTCAATGACCACTTTACGCTTCGCCCGCAAGCATGCGCTTGCTCCGTATCGGAGGTATTGCTCAACCG